ACAACTTCTTCATCTCCCGCAACTGCAAGGACAGACTCCTAGAATAGAGGAAAGAACAACCAGAATGTCATCACTAATTCTGACCAGCACCATATACACTGAACTTCTACCACTGAATCCTAATCACTTACAGAAAGAAACGTTACAGAGGAGATTCTCTTCTCATTTGTGATGGTACCACTGACAGATGCAGTGGCGAGTTGATAGATATCTATTTTATTCATGGTGACAACTATGTATTTCTCTCCCTTTGGGGACCATTCAACTATGTGAGCATCTGTAAGATTGAAAAAAAAACAAAAAAAAGACAGAATGCATTTTTTGTTCCGTAAGTGAAAAATAAAATGAGCATAGTAATAATAAAAACAGCAATATTTATACTTCATTTGTACATTTATACTTCACATCCATTATTTTATTTAATGTTTACAATAAACTTCCGATATACATTTTGTGAGTTAAATTATATAGGCAATAAACTGGGTTCAAAAAATTATCCAAAGTCAGGCAGCCAGTGGGTGGCAGAGCCGTAAGAAGACAGATCAAAAATTGGAAAATAAAGTAAGCACAAGTATTTGTTCTCAGAGGCAACCACCATTATGCAGGAAAATAAAGTGTGTACACACGTTCACACAACGTGTATGTATTCATATTCTGTCAAGTCATTACAAAACACATTTTAAAACAAAAACACTCACTTTGTTTTATATTTTTTATGAATGCTGACCTTCCGTCCACAAGATTCCATGTTCTGCAAAATAGGAAGCTGACTTATGGCGTGATCGTCAATTAAATTTACTAAGTGTAAAGCATAATGAAGACTTGCATAAAAGAAATGAAGAAGAAATGAGTTTTACTAAACGTGTGGCTTTCTCGGGGACCTGCATTTTTCTTACAGTAACACCTGAAACATTTATTATCTAGAAGAATAAAGCTCATTCTATCTCCATACCCCTTTACTATGTTGCACCCAGTATATTTTCAAAAGGTTTCACCCCCTACAACGTATCTCTTTAGGACCAGCTTCCTCTTCACTTTGTGGAGCACCATGACTGAAGCGTAGAGGGCACATCTAACGCAGAGCATGTCATCTGCATCCTACCATCACCAACAGGTTTCAGCCTCTCCCCTTATCACAACAGCCTTAAACGGTTAACAGCAGTGAGCAATACAAACGCAGGATCTAATTACTGTAGTAAAAGATACCCCAGTAGAGGGTTCTTGTTTTCCTTGGAGAACAAAGACTAAAAATGATCTTGAGCATAATGACGTACCTTAATGTCTTATCTGTACCCACAGACAGGGCCAACTTGCCAGACGGGTGAATGGAGAGGAAGGTCACATGTCCTCTAAAAGAAAACCAACAGTTAGCTGCCAACTTTACTAGGACAACAGAAGGCCAACAGGGGAGGGCTGGACTCACTTGTGCGCTCTAATAGACTTGAGGCATTCCCATTTCTTTGCATCCCAGACGCAGATTAGTCCATCTTCTGCTCCACTGATTAAGTGCCTGTTGCCATAGAATTTCAGACAAGTTATTGTGCCTGTGGAAAATTAAAGACAGCCGATTAATATTCACTTTGAATGCAAACTTCATTCCTGGTTTGAAGATTATGGTGCAGTAAGTAAAACATGCAATGTTTCTGTATTACTGAAACATACCCTAA